GTACACGTCGTGAAAGTACGTGGCAAAACGGATGGCGCCGCGCTTGCGGTCTTTCATGAAAAAGTACACCAAAAACACATTCATGACCACGGGCACCGCGAGGATCCCGAAGTATGCGTTCACGCTGATGTCAAACCCAAACTTGCCGCCGTAACGCTGCGAGCTCATAAGGAACCCAGACATTGCGGTGGTCAGTCCTTGGAAGACGAAGCGTGTGCCATAGATGGACGACTGCAGACGCCCACGCACGCGTACGGGTTCGCGTTGGGCGTATTCGACCACCAAGGCGTCACAAGCGACGTCGGCCATGATGTAGCAGAAGCTGGCCAGGGCACAGAGAAGCACGAGAACCGACCCGTAGGACTGCGCGGCCTTGATGTTCTCGTCCGAGCTGTCCAAGATCACTGACGGACCCACCGGTTTCAACGAAATCACCACGAAACAGATCGCAGTCATAACCCATCCAATCAAAATGTACGGCTTGCGACTGTAGCCCATGATCGGCAAGCAGTCCGAGAGCATGCCGTAAAACACCTTGAACGACCACCCCAAATTGATGAGACCGTCGGCAGAGCTCAGCGTGGCCGACTCCAAGCCAAAGTAGTAGGTTAGAACGGGCACGCTTATGCCAGGAATTCCCCCGTAGCAGATGCCCACCACGGCGTACTGGAAGAGAAGAGTCAAAACTTCGGGGGAGGTGTACACGAGCGGACCGCCTTCGCGCAGGGCGCCGTCCTCGAGGTCCAGCGGGGTACTTGCGTCTTTGAACCCGTCGACATCCTTGTCGGCCTGTTTGGTGATCGACGCGATGTACGACACGCGTTCTTGGAGGATATGATTGACTGGCATGGTAAGTCCAAAAGTGAGAAGATGAGACTGTGTTCAAGCTCGAACACTGACTGATGGAAGGTTGAACTAGTATGTACTAGTACTACGTAGTAGTACTTGAAGTTGAAATCTTTTTCACCAGATGGATATTAATAGCGACAAGTTGAAGCAACATACAGAATGTTCCGCTACCATTATATTTCACATGAGTGATTTTTTGGACTTCTTCGCCAGGTTCAGACACATCCGGATATTACGGATAGTTAACTCAGACCGTAAAGACACTTTAGCCCCCGACCACCCAAGTGTTTCGCATGCTCTCGCCCCCTTCCTCAAGTCTTTCCTCGTCCTCTTGACATGAGTTACCCACTTCTACGGTACAGTGTAGTGTATGTACTGTATGTACTTTCCCGTAAGCAAGAACACCACATTTGGCCATCCTCCTTGATGCTTGGGATTCTCTTACACACACTTACTTAAAATGGGCAATGTGCCTGTCACGATATGGACGTGTCTCGTTCCAAACCGGTACACGTCCAACCGGAGATATCATAGGTACTGAAGCGGGGGGTATACGGTAGTAAGTAGTACCCGACACAAGGTCACAAGGCGTCGTCCCAAGGGGTATAGCTGTACAGTACTGTACTATCGCTACCAGTAGACAACGTACACGAAGTTCACCAAGTCTCTGTAACCCCCAATCCAAGGTGAGCAATTAAACTAGCGTACACGACGTACTCGGTGGAGATGATTGACTGCCATGGTAAATCCAAAAGTGATGAGACTGTGCTCAAGCTCGAACGCTGAAACGGGAGCAGCAACTGATGGAAATGTTGTACTAGTATGTCCCGCTTACCTAGCCATGTTTGCCACGTAGAGCGAGCGTGGAAGGCCCTCAAGGGCGCCTATGGCGTTGCCACTCAGGGTCGAGTCCTCGTAAGCCAAGAGCTGCTTGACACGTACATCGATGCTGTACCGATGCTGTACCGCCGGTGGGTGGGAGCGCTGTGGAAGCAGAGGGGAAGAGCATTTCAAAGTTCAAGCTTGGGCATGTTACAGGAAATATCCAATAGGAGGCTTGCGTTCGTAATTACCCAATCAACGAGTGATGCGCTACTATTCTGCATACTATTTTAATAGTATGCAGGATAATACTATTAAAATAGTACTCGGAGTATTATTTTGGATAACCAAGGACCAGATCAGATGTATATTTTTATTGGAGTAAACGCTTGCCAGTTTACTGTACTTGAAGAAGTCTTTTTCACCAGATGGATAGCAATGAGCTGAAGTTCACGTTTTCCAACAAATCTACACAGTGCTGCTTTGCGGTCAGTGCAACTCTGCATGTGTATTTGAATTTGGTATGTATGCATAGTGGTATATCATGCCAAGAAATTGCCAATTTACTGTTAGGAAATCACCGCTTTTCGTTCGATTGTGAAAAGGAAATTTATTTTCTTTTGTATTTTTATTAGCTTCTACGAAAAGCAATGTGGAGTCAATTTGGCCCTTGAAAGCCATTCGTATCTGTCACTGTCACGGACAACAACAATCTTCGCAAGACGTCCACCCTTGCTGTGTCGTGCACATGCAGCAAGCTCCTGCGTCGCTATTTCCGTGGGTCTATTGCATTGTATGCGCCTGAGTAATTCGGTTAACACCGTGACTGAAGCAACGGAAAGCTTTAAAATGCGAAAATTGGCGTTATCTTTCCAGACAAGGTTTTGGGGTTTTGCTGCATAAGTTACTACTTCAAGTACTCCGGAGTAGTATCATGGCAAGTTCACCTCAGAGTATGATAACTTGCCCACCACCAAGATCCAATTCACTTGATTCACACTGTCAATCGGTTTCGCGTCTTAAAATTCTTAACGTTATGGTGGAATTCCCTTGACTCCCCCTTTCAAGTGCATGTATACATATACAGTACTTATATATGTAAGAATCCCAAGCATCAAAGAGGATCCCGAATGCGGCGTTCTTCTTTACTAACCTTAGAGCATCTCCACCGGATGGCGAGTTGGGATGCGGTGGAGATGCTCTTAGTACGGGAAAGTCCATGCACTACACTGCACCATATATGTGGGTAACTCATGTCAAGAGGACGAGGAATGAATAGCACTTGAGGAAGGGGGCGAGAGCACGAGGAACACTTGTGTGGTCGGGGCGCAAAACTAAACGTGACTTTTCGGTCTGATTTAACTATCCGGATATTGTCCGGATAACTAAGTACTTCCTTGAGCGACCAGGACTTGTCCTAATCTGGCCCATTAGATTGGGGAGGCAGTCGAGAGAACTCATTCTCGCAGTACAAACTCATGTCCAGATTGACCAGTCCTTTTGGCTCAGTTGGGAGCGGTCTAGCACTTACTAGTTTGAAGTAGCACGCCTTAAAAATAAATACTTCGAAGTAAATATAATAATCAAAAGAATCGAATCTTTTGTGTCACGTCGTTTGTGTTGTTTCCCACGCCAGTGCCAACACACACAACCAAATGGGGGAGTGCCGACTCCCTGCAAACCGCACACTTCATTGTTAACACGGCGCTGGAGAACCAAGAGTGAGATTCCGGCTGTTGGCTGGGACAGGTTTCTGTTTTCTACGTCCTAGTACTACTAATAATACTAATAGTAATACTACGCCTTTCGGTTCGCCAAGGGTCGGCACCCGGTGGCCTCGGTTGAGGACCACCTGTGTCATGGCAGGACTAGGATTAAGTCGCCCACCACAACATGGTTAATCCTTTCTGGGTGTATGTGTTTGTAGCGTACGCACGGGGCCAATTCCTTGATCCTATATACTCCGGAGTACTTCGTAAAAATGGCGCATGGTTAATATACCCCCATCGTTTATTACTAAGTACTTAAGACTTACGGGACGGCATTTATTGTTAATACCAATCTTGGATACTATAGTTAATATGTTTTAGTTGAATCAAAGCGTGGATGTGGATGACATGACGTTGGGATGAAATTGGATTACTACTCTGGTCCAAAATAGCTGTCGTGATGCATATTTGACTTGTAATTTGTATACTTTAATATATATCATTTAGCCACTTGTATACATGTTTAGTATATGCTTTACAAACAGCAATATGATTACAGCATATTTATACTGAACATATCAAGTGATATCAACCACAACAAGCAAATCGGAAGGTAACAGGCCGCCATTCGCGGAATACAGTGTCGTAGCTTGTTCAAATGGCAAGAACTAGGCATCGTTTAGCCTCAGGTGCGATTTCGTGGTCGACAGACGTCTACCGACGGTGCTACGGTCACGTATGGCGTATGGTGTCTTTTGAGCATGTTTGATCATAAATACAACATCATAGAAGTCCATGGCAATTGCGGGATTTGAACCCACGCGGTTCTCACCACGTCACATGTGAGGCATGTACTGTACTTCGACCACTGCGCTGCAAAATGCATCCTTATTCTACCAAAAATAGAAAATACCACTGGTAAGGTGGTTTACTTTGCAGCACACATAAGCGAGAGAGCTTTGTTAGTGCTTCAAGGGCATTACAACAACCACATGAACAAGTGGGCGAGATGGGGAGGTTTAAAGTTAAGATTTGATTCTCTGGCGGGTAATTGAATATTTTGCAAATTTGAAGGCCATTTTTCAAGTTCGGTAACTTCGCCAAGAATGTGAATTTTGCGCAGCTTGAAGTATCCAATCAAAGAGGAGATCTTCAGCTTGCATTTACACAAATCAGAAACGAGAACGAGTAAGTAATAGGCAAATTTGCCTGAAAAGTACCATACCAAATGTATAGACGAATCATCGGCAGAAGTAGTATTATTGAGCCAATCAGATTGCAGAATACCGTAATCAACGTCAAATTAGTGTGAGAATTCAATTAGTGTGATACCAATCACCACAGGATACGTTTTTACATCCAAAAGCTTCAGTACAAAGAAGCGATCGCTCAATAGATTTGGCGATTCAGCACAAAAGTCAACCAAATTTTGGGTAAAAGAAAGACAATACTGTAGTGCGAAGACAAACTACTGTGAATGTGGCTACCGTAGTACATACTAGTACATACTAGTACATACTAGTACATACTAGTACATGGTAGTCTCTGCTTGCAGATCTCGCATCCAAGTATGCAACGATGTAACGTCCCGTGTTCGCAATATATATAAATATATATATGTGTGATTCTGCAATAATATAACATGAATTAATCTACCATTGCGTCTGGCAAAATCGGACTTGAACTCGACCCTATTGGGGATTTCGCCTACTTTTTTTACATTTTCCAAACAAACTCGAGTTTTCCATTTCGCAAAAAATGCCATTATAAAATGGCATTTTTTGCGAAAAGGACTCTAATAATCCTTAGGAGGTACTTCGATGGGTTGTCCAATTAGTGTGGGCACACTGCGTGACGTCGTAAAGGTCGGCGCACACGTGAAGCAAATACTTTGCCAGATGCACGAGCTCTTGGTCGTCTGGGGCGTGAGCCTACTCCACCGCCCATAAAATTATTATATTATTCACATCATCTACATTATTATCAATACCCCAACAACATCATCCAAGTCTAGCATGTGTCCTGCAGAACGACTAGAACAAGAGATTCAATCTCAAATCGAATAATCACGAATCGACGCTATTGGCTAATCCAATTTTGAGTGTATTTGATTGGCTCTTACAGAAAGGACAAATATATTCAACCAATCACAACTCCAGCGTGATTCAATATTGATTAAACAAATCACGCGAATTTTGCAAGTTTGTAGCGAATTCACAATATAACCCCTAGGAATTTTCAACGACAAAGTTTCGCATTCATAACACCACAAAAAGCAACGAATTATTACTCGAGACATGGTACAAATTACCAAATAGATACTGTAGTTGATATTTATTTATATATATTTATATATATATATATATATATAATATCACGTACGTGTTGGCAGTCATATCGAGAGATAACGATTCCGTTGAGTGGGTTCAACTTGAAATTGCGCTCCAAGTCGTCCACGTGCAATGTGTTTTTGGCATGCCATCGCTACTCCAACCAAGGCAGTACATGTCAACTTTATATATATATATATATATATATATATATATATATATTCAACTGGTCATTTCATCTCATCAGGGGGTTGGTTAGTTGTGATATTATTATACTCATGTGGTGGCATGTATATAAATAAATATATACATAGTCCGTAAATATATACATATATACTTACACCAGGAAAGGATCGCCAGATAATGTCCAGGGCTTTCACTTTGATTGGCTTGGCCTGATCGGGCACAGAAAACATGCTCGTTTTGTCCAAAATGAAGTTGATGCAGTAGTCTAGTCAAATAAAAATATTTTTTATAATAAATGTGTATATCGAGTATTACAACTAGTGAATAGTTATTAGTATTTCAAAACATTGGTATATTAATATACCGAGTACATGACTATTAATGGATTAAAGGATACGGGGATTCCATACCACTTTGTGACACTGTACAAATGCGATGGAGTCGTGTCGATGCAAGTCGAATTACTACTAGTATTACTAGTAGTAGTAGTACCTGGAGTCGTGAGCATGCCAAGCTCGGTCAACTTGATCTCGATCCACCTCCACGACGTCTGGGACCAAATTCCAATGTCATAGCGTTGATGCACCAACTTGAGGAACTCGTGGATGTACGGTCGGTGGAAGCGGGAGATGGGAATGTCGTTGGAGGTCTTCGTGGCGCTGCGTGAAGGTCACACATGTACATATGCTCGAGTAGTACCTGATGTCCATGAGGGTATGGTCCAAGTCGAGTACCAGCAGCTTGGTGTGAGCTCGAAATGGATGGATCAACGTGATCTGCGCGGCGTCCGCGATCTGGTCGACGCGATCGTCGATGGCTTTGGCCTAATGCGATGCAGACAGATAGGAGAAGACGGCATTCTCCTGGAAAGGATGGATGGCTAGCTACCTTGGTCCATTCCGCAGACCCCGCCGAGAAGGCGCAACCAAAGTCCGAGAACACGGATGGTAACGCGTACTTGGGCATGTGCTGTGGGTCCACAAAGATGTCGTCCTCGACCGTCCCAATCAACATGAACTTGTGGACGGGAATGTTTAGCGTGAGCTCACAAAGGAGCACGTGGTCCCCAGCTATGTAACATCAACACGTTGTCACGCTTGTCACGAAAACGAACCTGGTTTGCCATGCTGGTTGATGCCCACCAGCTTCTGCCGATGGGGCAGCACACATGTCCGTGCATGAAGCTCCTGCTTGAGGTCCAAGATGCTCGCGTCACCCGATAGCGTCACCTCCACCGCCGCCTTCTTCCATTTCCCCACCAACGTAAACATCATGCAAAATGTCGCGTCGACGAAATCCTGGAAAAGAGTCGTTTATTATCCAGCATTATCCGGATAATAAACGACTCTTTTCCAGGATTTCGTCTAACGCCAGGTTTCTGATACTATTATTAAAATAATAGTATCAGAAACCTGGCGTTACATAATGCAAATACCAAAATCCTTCAAAACACAATATACTGATTCATTACGTTCTACAGGTTCAAGGACAATTGAAATGTGTTAGGTTGAGAAGCTACAGTCAACGAACGTACATACACGGGGCATGGGGGATTAACCAAAGATTTACTTCGTCGTAGTTCTTACATGTACGAATACTTCGTAGTACTTCGTAAATGTAAGAACTACTCGAAGTAACGTAAAAGTCCAATTTAAGGTGCACGCGAATTAGCCAATCAATTCCTACAAAGGCAGTTTTTAACCTACCCGCCTAAAAAATATGCAAATGGATATACTACAAAGACTAAGCTCAAAATGGTGCACCTGAAATTGGACCGCTAGTTTTAAGCTGTTTCTGGACAAAGTGATGTGCATGATAATGAGTTATAACAGGAATTATATCGCGTTCATAACTCCCAAATAGGCCTGGATTTTGGCATCATTTAACATATTCTAGAATTATAATCCGATACCTACGAGTCGAGTAACATGCCTTCCACGGCAGCGTCTCAGAAAAAGTGTTCTTAAATTGGACTTTTACGTTAGGCGAATTATTCACTGGTGTAACCAGGGTATGTATGTAAAAAATATTTTTTAGCAATTTTCTACCAAAATATTTTTTAGCAATTTTCCGGAGTACATAAAGCAATGAACTACAGTCTGTATTGTATTGCATTACACCATTTTGCGTTTAATTTCAGCTTTTTTCAAAATATTTCCATTAACCTCCGATATATTTCACCGAATCGCCAATATAATTCACCAAACCTCCATTATATTTCACGGCGATTTGAAATTTGGCCATTATATTTCACCCAACCTCCGATATATTTCACCCAACCAACGCTTAATTTCACCTTTCGAAAATATATTTCACCTGACCACCGGTATATTTCATGGAAAAGTAAATAAAAACCAACCCATGCAACATATCTACGACATCTACGGCTCAAGCACGAACATCCATGTCTTCCATGTTCTCAGCGCGGAGATAGAACAGTTCAAGGCGGGCCGTGTACACATGCAAACGATTCGGCTCAAGTCCTAATTCATTGTTGAGTTACACCTTTTAAGTCTGTCCGTCTGGCGGTGGCCCCATAAAGGCCGCGACTCGTTCGTGCAAAGATGTCTTAATATGGCTCTTCAACGCCGGCCACATATTCTCAATCGGGTTGAACATCGGGGAGTACGGCCCTAGTATTAACAACGAAGCGTCTTGACACTTCCTGTTAGCGGTCATTCGTACTAAACAGAGAGACGTACCGGAGTTTGTGGTGCAGGGATGGCCTCTTCCATATAGCGCAGAGTCAAAAATGGTGAAAACACGCGAAACTCTTCGCGCGCTTCGATCTTTCTAGAATCCCAGCTCGAATTATAACAACTGTTAGGTGAATTATTTTTTCGAAATTTGGAATTAACCGTAGGTTGGGTGAATTATAACAGAAGTTGAGTGAAATATATCGCCGATATTTTACATCGGCGTGAAATATAATGGAGGTTGGGTGAATTATATTGGCGATTCGGTGAAATATATCGGAGGTTGGTGGAAATATATTGAAAATAAGCTGGAATTAAACGCAAAATGGTGTAGTGCATGGCCAATACAATCATTGTATTGCTTGCTGCATCTACCAGTATTTAGAGCGCGTCTGGTAAGAGTTGGAGGATATTTAGTAAAGGGGCGAATATCTCAATCAATTATTTTTGAATAACGACAAAAACTCCATTTTGTGTGTGAAAATATATTATACTTGTTGCCAGACATGTGATTTATTCTGCTTTTCTTTCCGAACAATTCGAATTGGCAACATCGGTTCGGAATCAAGGATAGCCGTGCCACGCAAGACCGTCGGGTACAACCTAACCATCGCCGCCAAAACCTATAATTAGCCGCCATGAACATGCAAACAAGTACTATTGTGGTAGTATATTCGATACGAATTTCGGATTCGAAAGCATTAACTTTCACTTGGCGATGCTTATGAGCTAGGACTTGCTCGGCTCAAGTCGATACGTGTGAGCCACAGAAATGCTGGCAACCAGAACGAGGTACAGTAACGTTATTTTGTGAAAATTATATCGCTATAAACTACCAACATTCGCGTGGTTTATTTCATCAATATGGAACAATCACGCTAGAGTTGTGATTGGTTGAATACACTACTTTCCTTTCTGTAAGAGCCAATCAAATAATCCACTCAAAAATGGATTAGCCAATAGCGTCAATGATTCGAGATTCGATGATTCGATTCGACGGGGTCTGGAAATTCGTATCGAATATACCACAAACTTGGAACCACTTTTTCGTTTTTCGTTTTCTAAAAATATCTACTTGGAACAGGCCCTAATAGCAAATATATACTACCTAAATGGGTCACATGATGTGTCATTTACGAAATATCTCGGATCTGTGCGTGTGATATATTAAAAATCACATCGTATCGTTATCACACAGGTCGTGAGCAAGGACGATACTATTTAACAATTCAATATATCCATTGCTATACTTATATATCCAATATATCGGACAAATTGATATCACGAATGCAGGACGAATATTTGACATTACCTGTAATAATATTAATAGTATCTACCTACACTACAGTATTACGTACTTACAGTATTTGGATTGGAGAATTTTCCCGTATACAACGATATATTCTACTATTGTGATTTCGAGTGAAATGTTGTGGCGTGGTTTCTCGGTGGAATTTAAATCGATTTGATTGGCTACTTCAGAAGAGCTCAAAATTATTAGCCAATCAAAACCTTCTCAATGAAATCCAACAACCAATCAGATCGATTGTGGATCGGTTTCGTCGGCGCGATTCGATTGCACACACCCCCTCCCCAAATTTGTATCAAATCAACTATAGTACCAGTATCATTTTTCTTTTATTCACGGGAAACACGAGAAACGAGACAGACGGTCGAACACTAATATATAAAATATAGAAAACGCAAGTTGGATTAAGTACTACTAGTATAGTGGTCGGCGTGATCGGGGTGCACGACCGTGTAGCGTCGACTGGCGAGTACTTTGCAGTTGGCATCAAGGCCCTTCATCCCGCGGGTAATGGCCAAGTCCGCCTACATATTTATGCCAACCACAGCATTATTTCAAACGTGCCGCTTCTAGAAACCAAAAAAATATACTAGTACTTGTCAAAGTACCTATTATTGTCCCCATGTACTACTACAAAAAAAGTACCGAAGTACCTAAGTACGTACTGTACCTGGGACCAATTGTTGCGCAAGTCTGGGAGCGAGCATACGTGGCCCACCTTGGGCTGGCCACACCGGCCGCACTTGTACGACTTTCGCGTCGACTCGTGTGACGTTGCCACGTCATCGACAACAAAATCATGGCTGTTGACGCCGGAGGAATCTGCGATAGAGTGTGTTTGCAAATCATCCAAAACTGCAATTTGACTCAAGTCCATCGAGATGCCCGTGGACCGACTCGTTCGCTTCTTGGGTCGAACACTGGAGTTTGGTGCATCGCTTTGCAACAGCTCGGACGACGGCGACAAGATGGGAAGCCGTCGGCCGAGGGTATCGGCGGCGGTGGATGTGATGACAGAGGCTGGTTGATGGGGGGAATATGAAGGATAGATGGAGTGCTGCTGCTGGTGGAGTTGGCGGAGTTGTTGTGCATGGTAAAAGAGGCCGTCGGGGTTGCTTTGGTGGCGTTCGTGTCGACTCTTGCGTTTCAAATCCAGCACGTTCTCATGGAGTTTTTGATGGACGTGAAACAGTTGCGCCGGATACTGGGGCGGAAGCACGTTTGGCGGCATCATCGAGTCGTACCCTGCGCTGGTTGCTCCTTCATGATGACATGATGATGATGATGTATGACTAGTCGCTCTCTCAACATGGTCGACTGGTAGTAGTACCTTGCGACGAGGATACCAGCGTCATGTGATTTTGGTCGTGGTGGGGAGTAGATGGGCGAGGGGCGGTGGTGGTACGCAAGTCTGGGGCCTCCAGAAAGTCTTGGAGGATGTCATCCAGGTCCACGTCCTCTATAAAGCTCTGCCCTCGGGTAGGTGGCGGAGTAGTTGTCCACGGGTTGTGGCTCGAGTTGCCATGCTGAGAGCTCAAGGGCACGGGTCCTGGCTACGAAAGCGGCGCGGCGTTACTATAGTGGTGCCAACTGTATCCTCGAGTGTGTTTGTGTGTACCTTGGAGGCGAGTGGTGGCTGGGTAGCAGCTGCAGCTGGATGGAGTACAGAGTGGTCGACTGTAGCTACACCGTCTTCTGCCAGCAACATTGCAAACGACAACTGGCCGAGAACGTCTGGGCTGGACTTGTGCCGCTTGTGTCGGCCACGCCCGACACTTCCTAGCTGGTGCTGCGACGATGGCACGAAGGAGTCTGCAAAGTTGAAGTCCATGTTCAGCCCCGCAAATAGATTGTCCCCCATCTTCAGAAGGAATTGTCGGCTCGCGGAAGAGTCCTAACGTTCTGTCGTCGTGAAGTTGTCGTCGCCGCCTGGCTCACACTGCAGGCATTTCATGCTGGCGGTATCCGGATACAATTGACCGGATACCAAAGATCGCGCGATGCTCCACAGCGCGGTGGTGACGACGGACAATGCGAATGTGCTCCTGGCACGCTACTTCCTCCCGCTCACCACGGAGTCCAAGCGCATCTTCGAGCAGGCTCTCTTCAAGGCTGTGACATGGTCGGCGCTGGCGTCCGTGACGGACGACGCAGCAGACGCGCACCTTGTCGTGTGCGACGGTCAATTTGTCGTGTACCGCAAGTTTGGCGACCTTGTGTGGTTCCTTGCTGGAAGCGGCGAATACGACGAACTCATATGTAAGCCTTCCTCCCTGTTTTCCTCATCTCAAGATGTGCTTGTGATCATGCTTATCAGGCCACGACACCCTGACCACGCTGTTGTCCGTATCAGCGGTGCACATGGAAAAGAAGTACACAGAAGCCTCGTTCCTTGCCAATCACTCCAAGATACTGGTCTCGTTGGACGAAATGGTGTTCCAGGTCTCTCAATGCCACCTAACATACATTGGACAGCGACTTATTTACACGACGACTGTAGGGCCACCTCGACAACAACGACGTTCAATCCATTTTGCAAATGACCAAGCTCAAGGCATACCCCCCGAAAGCTTAGTTCATGCATACCCCTGCTACTATTAATCACGTTAACGTTAGCACGATATTGCACCGTTATATTGATTGGCACATGTCAATATGTCAAAATTGATTCGAAACTAGAGCCATCAGCAGAATCAATCGAATGTCTTGGATTAAAGATCCGCCTGAGCCAATCAAATCATGTCATCTCGAATTTCTACCAATCCAAACGTTTGACCCATCGATTTGGGCAAAACCACATGGATACTAATCATTGTGTGTACAAGCTAAATAGGATCAAATAAATTCGGCCAAATTTGGGTGAAATGCACGATAGCATATGAGAGCATCTCCACCGCGGCGACAGTATATTTGGCACTAAAAGTAAACGTCGGTTTTCCCGGATAGCATTTGTTGTATCCGGTATAATTTCGGATAAATGTACGTTATCCGGGAAATTTGGTGTTTACAGTCGATGGTAAAACGAGAACCTTCCAAACCAAATATCACCTAATTTCCCGGATAATAGAGAAATTATCCGTAACTTCGAATTGTGGCACTAATAGTATTTTAATACTATTAGTGCAATTCACCGCGCGGTGGAGATGCTCTGACGGGTACTATTGTGGATTCGGTACAAATTTCCAGACCCGTCGAATCGAATCGACGCTATTGGCTAATCCAAATTTGAATGGATTTAGTTGGCTCTTACAGAAAGGACAAGTATATTCAACCAATCAGAACGCAAGCTTGATTGAATGTTGATTATATACAAACCGCCCGAATTTTGGACGAATTCACAATACTGGTATTAATAGTATTTTAGTACGTAGTAGTATTTTACAGTTAGTATGTGTTGTCTCTGAACTGACACTTCGTTAACTATATTACTGCGGAGTAGTATCCGTGGATGTCTAACAATGATTGGTGGAGGGACTTTCTATGCTATAGTTTGATTGGCTATGAATTAATGCGTCAACCAATCCAATCAAATAACGTCGGGTGAGTAACTGGGTTTTATTCGAATCGTCATGTTGTTTTCCATCGTCCTCGATGTATACAAATATCATGTCATTAAATATGCGGAATATAAATTCCGATCAATTTGGTTTTGTACAGACGGCGCCGTCGGTGCCGCCGTTCTCGTCATGACGTCGAATCAATCCTTCTCCGACCTCCTCCTGAGCAGCAACGACTTGGACGACATGAACAACGAATGCTTGGACCAGCTCACTGCGGATGTGGTCAATCGAAGCAAGAACGCAGATGCTGCGTCTGCCGCCAAGGCTGCCGGCTTGAAGCGCAAGCCCAGTGCGTCCTTTCAGAAGCAACGGTCCCAGGTATATGAATACCTCCCTGAGGACGACAACCCATCTACCACCGCGACGGGGTACGACTACTTTGCCGACTACAAGGACGGCGAAGCCACGACGTTTGTCACAGCCACCGGGGAACAACATGTGGTGGGCCTCGGGTTGGACCTGGACAGCCTCGTGCCCTCATCTACATCGACATTGGTGCCAGATCCCATTCCGTTCAAGGAGGAGTCACATCCTACGTCCGCTTCCCCCGTGAGCCACATTGAAACGATCCCCGACATCATCCACCTGTCGATTCCATCGTCCACGACGCCCTTCATCGACGGCACGGCCGATTCCGCGCAACGCGGAGGTCGCGGCCACGTTCATCGCAACTCGGTGGAACTCACGGGCCTATCGCATCAATTCGGCCTGCAAACATCCATGGCGCCGCCTGGCTCGCCCGTGCATCAGCAGCATCGCATACCTCCTTCCAACATGATCATGCCTTCTTACGCCCCGGCATCCCCCGTGAACCCGCTTCATATGGCGTACCCCACGTCTCCGGCACATCATCACATGCAACTGCCGCCGGCGATGATGCAGCCGTCATCCCCCGTCCGCCATCCCGCCAACGGGTTGCTCATGCCATTACCCATCTCGGTGGTACGTATATATATATATATCTTCCCATGTGACACTGTTCTATTCGTGGTGGTTTTGTTGAAGCAGTAAAAATATACCTTTTATGATACAAAATTGGAATATACTAGTATATTTTTCAATTTAATGGAATCGCAATGTTGCCCCGCCACTTTCGATATACTTACTGCGAGAGTCATCCATGTCGTTGCTATTCCATAGAAATACTGTACTACTACTGTACCACCAAGTCTACAATATTATATATATATATATATATATATATTACGAAGGGACTTTCATCATATATATATATATATATATATATATATGATAACCCACGCCATGATGCAGCATATGGATACTGTACACACTTCTATGCTGGCAACGACATGAATCCCTTTGTAAAGTGTGACGACGTTTTAGTTTCCCAGTGGCCCCATGAACATGTACGGGTACGATCCAACGATGCTGATGCCGCACAGCCCCGCGCTAAGCTCGGGCATGTCGGACCACTTTGGCTCGTTCAATATGCACACTCTGTCGCAGCCAAACTCACCCAGCAGCCACAGCAGCAGTTCCCATGACAAGAACAACAATGCAGACTCTGGGCGGGAAAAACGAGTGCGTCGATATATATATGTGTGACAGCATGAAAAGTAACATTGCGTATAGGAGTACAAGTGCCGGCAATGCGGCCAACCCAAGAGCGGACACACGTGCACGTCGATCAAGAGCATGATGGACAGCGCCGTGCAGAATGAAACGACGCCGTCCAACATGACAGATTGGAGAATACTCCCAGTCAAGAGCAAGTGGGTCGTAGCGTAGGTAGTTAGTTGCTAAGACACACTGGAGGCGAAGAATGGCTTTGCAAATGAAAGATGCGATACAGTTTTGGGCGAAGAATATGGCTGGAATGGCTCGGGTATTTCAAAGTGTAGCAGGGATAAGTAATAGCTATGTACACGGGATGCGAGCATTTTACGAAGGCAGGCTTCCTGTTGGAGCCACGAGAAGACGGAATAGCTCGTGGCGATTTCGCTTGTCTAGTTGTGTGCGAGCCTCCCTTCTCTCAGTTGGCTTGCAATTTCGCCCCCACGGTCGAAGGGTGTGGCAGCATCTCGACCAGCGTATGAAGTGGATGTACGAATACAAAATGTAATGGAGGGTCATGTCTTTCAAGCGAGGGGGGGCGTGTTGACGGCACGAATGACGTCGCATATCCGTGGGGAATCTGAAGTCACCTCGTGATGCATGCGTGGTAAAAGCAATGGCCGAACGAGTCAAACGATGGCGGAAATGGCTGTCAGGTCTCCGTGCTGTGGGGGTCGAAAAGGGGGGAAGGAGGCGGGGGCTGAGTGCTTCAAGGGCGGCACCATCGACTGCGATACTGCAAACGAGATCCACCACGGGCTGGTCACCAACTCCAACAAGTAGACAGAGGTGGCATCGTGTTGTTCGTTGAATGTTGACTGTATTGTACATAGCAACATGGAATAGCCCGATCGGTGAGGTTTGCTCAATGTAACGAAGTACGGTGACTAATTAGTGTGATGTACACTGTCATAGAGTATTAGACCCTATAAAACGGGAGCTTTTTCTGCATGTGGTGATGCTGTGAACTGTACGAACGGGGCAATGTGCGTCCTTTCGACCACTTACCTCGTGAATGAGCTTCCTCCTTGTGAGCTGAGACTAAGTAGATGGATGACTGAGATGTCGAACATTGCCGTTGGGCATTTATATTAACAGTAAGGGCGTACGCCAAATATTCGCACATTTCGGCCAAATGCGAATATTTTCGTACGATACCGCAACTGCCTCGGCTCTTTCATACCGATTGGGTGGGCTGGCGGTATTCACTGCGAGCACTGTACAGTCAGTATAACCAGCCGAACTAGGCTTATGTACGTATTTCCCCGAGTCCCGTTCGTCATTGACCATGTAACGTTATGATTGATTCCCCGCTGGTGTGGTTGATTCAGTCAATACCAACGTGCAAAGATCGTCATTCACACACGGTGCACACGCTAATGCATACCAACTACAAGCTATACAGCACACGATTCGTCGATGTTATCGCGTACAAACATGTTTACCATGATGTTCTACCAGGAACAAGTTCGGCTTATGTTCGCATGTATGCATCGTCCAGTCCAGAGGTTCCCTTGCACAATCCATTTTTCATAAATTTATTACGATGTGCAGTATATTTGGACTCAAGGTACGGCCGTTTTGGTGTTGACGATGTGTTCAAGGCCAACAATTTGAAATATCTCGACATTTCAAATTTGGATATATGCGCCTTCCAAGTATCCGCAAATGCTCGTATATGCATTGAACACGCCCTAACTTAAGGTGTTGTTTGTACATGGATTATTAGGTAGCATGTACCGGAGGCTCATTCACCCCCCGAGCGACCCCTCGGGGGGTGAGGAGGAGGTTGTGGGGACCGCCAAATATTGACTTGTGGGGCGATACTTGTGGGGCGATGGAGGAGCGGGGGGTGAAGGGATTCGACGTGGGACATTGTAGGGTAGTACATACTAGTATACTAGTATCTACTAACTGGGCCAAACTTGGCGTTCTATGGCATAACGGTAACGACAGTGTGGACTATCCAGACCAAGAATGTGCATGGAACGAGTTGTGGTACACATTGCTGTTCTATTTTTTTGATCATTTTGGGCGACACTACAATAAGGTGATTCATGTAATTCCCGGCCAGCTTGGCCTACTTTCTGAGTGCCATAACTCGTCACCCATTCATCCAATGAGGCTGCGAAAACATGCATTTTGAAGATCGTGACGAGCTTTATAACTTTATGCAGGTCCTATCATTTGTATCGCATGGTCAATTTGCTCGTCGAATTTCTAAAATTGAAATTTCCCTGTGTGAATTTAATTCCCGGCCAGTAAGTCACTTGAATAATGTATACCTGATTTGGGTGACAAAATCCTCAGAACCTCTTAATAATGATATGTATAAATGATTCAAGTAATTAAATTTAGAAGTGCAACAAATATAAAAACTGTATTACATGTTGGACAAACAGAATATTAAATCTTACAAGTATGTGATACAAGAGTACATAATTTTGTCTAATCATCGTCCATGGATGATTGTGATTGGCCATTTGCTGGCCGGGAATTGCATGATGGCCGGGAATTACATGAATCACCTTACAGTTGAATGTGTCCACAAATGCAGGACATGATGAAACCGAGTGGTTGTATAGTTCACATTGCGGTGTTAAATATATGTATAGGACAAACTGCAAGTTACTACGGTACATGACGTTACAGCTAAGCGAGAATTACACCTGTGTTTTATAATAATATTGGAGTCTGACGCTTGTACACAGAATCATTTTGATTGCATTTTCTTCGTTACATCTACCAGCATCAACCAATGGAATCGACGACCCACGACCACCAATAGCATTCTGCTTGGAAGTACTTATATTCGATAAACGAATGATCGAGTGGAGGGTCGTGGAATCCAAACATGCTCCGGAGTGTCGTCGTTGGACAGTATTGACCTGTGACAATTCGGCTCGAACTGCCCGATGACGAGATATTCCGATTTCACAGCACGTGATCAACCACACTAACTACTGTAACTTTTTGTTTGCATTCATTGGCAACCTCGAGACCACAACCAAGCACTACCGAAATTCATAATAAACCCAAGTCTAAGTGTGAGTTTGGTAAATATCTCAACCAGCGGTCATCTAGACTTAGCGGTCTAAAGAAAACGATATAGGACTGAACCCTCTTGAAACTACGTTATCATTTCGTACATAATTTGTTCTAGTTGAAGAATGCTTATATTTCGTTGATATAATCTACTACATAGGATGGGCTCCAGATTTTTCCGGCGCCTTGTAACGCTGTTTATAGGTACCATTGTGTGATGTCAATAATCGGCGGTTGGTCGATCCTTCATCATCCATGTGCAATCCATCCGACTACTGTAGTACTAGCACAGTATCGTGAAGCACACCACAGCTGGAGGTTCGCTACAGTACATTCCCCTCATTTCGGCCATAACGTTCAGAGCCAGCTGGAGTTTACCGAACGTCAAAAAGCGAAAACTGGAATGATACCCACTTAGACGCGTTGACTTTAACCGGGGGCACTTGGTTACTGTGTACTTACTAGTATAGATAGCATCGTCTACTAACGCTACTTACTGGTAGTATGGTGGTGATAATTCCTTTCCACTTGATTGTGGTGTTGGATTACTATACTCTCTTGGAAGAAAATGGGTTCTTCAGACAGGTCCATTTGCCCTTTTTTTGAAATGTATCTTCGTCGCAGAGTGTTCCTCGCACGACGGATTGCAAGTACGGTAAACATGGGAGTTGAATCGGCTAGTTATATACATATATCAAGTGTATCATTTACCAAGATACATACCATGCCAGGGTCAAACTGTGGTCGTGGAGCTTGAGTTCCAACATTTATCAGGTAATTTGTATACTTTATATGCATGATATGATGCATCCTCTGGTCGTCCAGAACATCGCTCTGAAAAACGCGTTTAACGCGTTTTGGGAAGAAGTGTACCAACAACGATCGAGTGCTCCTCCCACTTCGCAACTTTGCACTGGTGTTTCTACATGTCGGCCGCACGTCCCGTTGCAGATGCCGCCGTCGACTCCGCCGGCCTTCCCAGAGATGCGCGTACTGTCGTCGTCAGACCCAGCGGGGCTGCCGTCACCACTGCATCGACCTCAACGGCCTTGAACGTCCGCGTGACCGTGCGGTATCCTGCACCTGCCAACGCCAAAGTCCCCGACATCCTCGCACTCTTCCGCAGCGCGACGTGGGTAAACGTGATGATCCGATACATTGTCCCGTACTTGAAAACGTCGACCCCGGCAAACCGCGACATCGTGGCGAACCTGCCCCATCATGCTTGTGGCGACTGTGAAGACTGCGTGATCTGTATGAGCTGCATGAACGACGCCGTGACACTTCCTTGTGGACACCACTTCCATTCCGACTGCATCGATGCCTGGTTGCGGCTTCGCAGCACGTGTCCTACGTGCCGCCACCAGATTCAGAATGCGTTCTCTGGACGGTATGCTTTCAAAGGCATCAACACGGCGCTAGTGATCGACGAACTGGACCCAGCCATCTCCGTGGAGGCGCTGCAGCGGATGGAACTCGGTGGCCGTGTGCTGAAGGCGGTGGTGCGCATCGCGATGGTTCCGGTCACACATGTACCCGAACTGGAGAAGTTTCCGTGCGAACTGAACGCCATGGTCATGACGGGGTCGCATGCGATGGTCCAACATCTTCATCGACCTGCGTCTACTGCCACCACCACTCCCGCCACCGCCCTGTCTACCACGTCGACATCTACGCCGCCGATCCCACCGACCCTCCCTTCCCTGCGCTGCCGACAACCATCCAGGAGTCGCGTGCGTTCGCCGACGGCGGTTGACTTGCCTGTGGTCAAGCGACGCCGAGTCGTGCGTTGAGTTGCTGTATTTTGTTGTCCTATAAACCCCACCCTATTTAATAATTGACTGTCAATACAAGACTTCAGTGATGAATAAAACTGGCGAAATATATTATTTTAGATACATCTATGTGGGTGGAATCCAAACCACAAGGAAGAGGGTGATGCAGTGAGAGAGCGAGCAGTCTACCTACCGCGACGTACATGCCGATATGTATGCTGCCGTGTCGGGCATAGAATAGAATGGGGCGACGATATGTAGGGAGTGGGTGGTGCTGATAGGAGTCAGTCTCATCATGGAAGTCCTAAGATCGGAGGATTATGTGGTGGCTCGAGGCTGCCGGTCTGCGATCGTTGTCCTAGCGACACATTCGTGAACAATGAACACAGCTACAGCATCCTCGACTAATGTCGGTGTGAGGTGTACATACAACTGTATTTCCGTTGTCGTCCTCTACTCGTAGGCGTGGCTAACGTTAACCATTCATCGCCGCATTGGCAGCATCGCCTTCGATTTGGTCGTTGCGAGTAGCGTCGTGCACTCGTTCGGAAAACCAGGCTTTGATTGGTTGCAAATATATATTTATAGCCAATCCTACTCGAGCATTGAAGTCGGTTGTGATTGGCCGAGACGAAAGACAGCAGAATTCCACCGACATCGTCGCCATGTTGCTCCGACGCGTGATGGGGCCGGCGGCCACAGCATGGAGCCGCCGTCATTTCTCGGACTTTCTTCCCGACCTGATCATTACCAAAGCGACATCTAACGTACGTACATGCGCTGCCTGAACTAGCCTATCTCATTTTGGTGTAGCAACTGAATGCACTGAATCGAACGGCGGCAACAAAGCAGCACTTGCGGGTTGCCGTGGAAGGCGGAGGATGTTCCGGGTTTCAATATGTGATCACACTGGAAGACACACCGCTTGGTATGCGATGTTCGTCGGGATGGTGAGATGCTAATTGGTGGAACGTAGAGGAAGACGACCGCGTGTTTGAGAAGGATGGCGCTGCCGTCGTTGTCGACCCGACGTCGATGGACTTGCTCAAAGGTACCATTATGCACATTCTGTCGATCAGATTCTGATCTATATGTGTAGGAAGCACCGTGGATTTCGCGCAAGAGTTGATTCGGAGCTCGTTCACGGTGATCAACAACCCGAACGCCGTCAGTGGCTGTGGCTGTGGTAGCTCGTTTGAAATGAAAGAGTAATGGCGAAATCACATGTAAACAGTACCATCCTAACTCCTGCGGCGGCACTAGTTCTTCCTTCATGCAGTCCCCTCGACAGTATTCCCTGCCTCAACCATGATGACGATAGCCTCACATATCCAACAGATCGTTCTTCACCTCCAACCAGTATATCTTTGAAATGGGGATTGCTATCCACAAGAAATGCACACAAAGCCCAATATTATTCAAAATTCTTTGGATATTTCTGGATTTCATGATATATTTTGCACTAGTAAGTACTACTAGTAAGTACTTATGCGTAGTCTTGACCGATGTGCATTATGACGCATGGGTTTATCTACTGATGCACTGGAAGGACATTCGGCGGGGTTGGCAGCGACGACGCCCCTCGAGGGGATTGAAGCCGAAGGTTGTCGGACGATGCTGTCAGCGGCGCATTCCTACCAATTACATGAGACCATGTCTATCCATAGATCCTAACGTACTTGATCGAAGGGGTCACGGGACGCTCGCGCGCCTTGTCGCCCGGCACGTAATCGTAGATGTCAATGATGCGAATGGCAGCATCCGCACCAGCCAGTGCCAGTTTGTCACCGGCAGGGGAAAAGTCCAGAGTAAACACACCACGACTAAGGCCCGCGACCGTTCCAATCAGCTACACACGTGCAATCATCATATTCATCAGCACCACCAATGCAATGCCGCTGGTCTGTACCTTGTTCGAGACATGGCTAAACACTTTGCCTTCGTTCGACCCGCTCCCTCCCGCGGCAATCAAGTTGGTCCGTGGGTCCTTGGTGAATTGAGCGGCATAGAGGAAACATGGCTCTCCCTTCAACGCGCTTTGGTTCCACGGAATCGTGCAGAAGCGCTTGCCCGAGCCATAGTCCCACAACTATTCCCATTGCAACAAATTCGAAAATGAGCAAATCAGCGATCCGGGGCGCTGGATACCTCCAGGGGATTCTCGGGGCGCCACGACCCGGTCAAAATTTCGTTCTTGGCATTGATGTCGATGGCGTCACCTACATTGAGAGGAATGGTGGAGGTTGGTGGATAGCTCTGCGCGGAGGCGTTGGCGGGATGTCGTCCCATCATATACCTGCGATGTGCGGTCCGTAGATGCCGCGGACAGAATGGCCCACGCGGGTATCCCAGATCTGGATCGTGTTGTCCCATCCGCCCGACACGATGGTGTTCTCGTCTAACGGATGATACTTGACACTGAACACGCGGTTGGAATGTCCGGCGGTAAGCGTCCCATGTCTACGAACGGAGGTGATGATAACATGAGAGGAACGCTGGCACGAGGATGATATCATCGGTTACCCGCCCTTCATGGAGATCACTTCGGTCTTGGTGGCTTCGTCGTACACACGAATCTAACCATGCACCATGATAGGACGACGAAGAAGAGATCGAATGGCAGTATTACCACATGATCTTTCCCTGACGTGGCAAACATGGCGCCGTCGGGGCGGTAGTCCAACGCGTACAATTGATTCGTGTCGTCGGTGATGGCATGCAGGCACTTTCCGGACGTGATGTGCCAATGCTCCACCGATCCATTGGAATCTAATCGTCACGGATGAGATCATGATGGATCATGGTAGAGATGGTAGCGATGAGGACGTACTCACGGCAAGTAGCACGTTCTTGGTCTTGGACGCACTCGTGAGCGGCCGGAACCGAATCGCGGTACATGGCATGCCAAAGCCAAAGTTGTGATGCGGTTGCATGAGGGTATACGCGAGTGTGCCGTTTTGCACGTTAAAGATCTACATGGAGCAATCGTCATAGAGGATGGACATTCGTATGCCGGAGAGGGACGCACGCGGATGGCACCATCGCCGCATCCTGCCGCCAGCAGTGCGCCATCGGGGGAAAATCGCGTGCAAAACACTTCCGACGGGCATTCGCTGTCGAACGATCGTGACTTCCCACATTCGTCGTCGCATGCACGCATATTGATAATGTCGGCACCTACCTAATGGTGATGCTCGGGGCTAATCGCTTGATACGGTCTACACACGGTATCGGCGTCATGACACCCTTCTCGTAGCCAATGCTACATGTGCGAATCCTCACGTACCGTCCATGCTGGGGCGTGAGTTTGGTCACCACGGAAATGACGGTTTCAAAAAAAAGATCCCACAAAAAAGAATACTATTAATAGTATCATTCACCCGAAAATACTGCCGAATTTAGCAAGAATTGTTGGATATATTTCTGGAAATAATGAAATAATATGACCAAATTATATGATCGGTTAAAATACTCCACCATGGTCGTGTATGCCGTGGATGTCGGCGGGTCGACCCTGAAGCATGGCGATGTGGCCGGGGCGACATATGCTGTGTCATCAAACTGCGTGCGGGTGAATGCCAAGCAGCACACCGCGCAGATCCGCCGGCCCATTGAGCGGGGGTACGTCGTCAATTGGACATTGCAGGTATGCAACCGATCAAATCTCCGTGCTCTTCTTGTCATCAGCATGGACGTAGGGAGACATTTGGCAGGAAGCATTGACTGTTGACCCAGATGCGACGTTGTTGCTCACCACACCTGTCTTCACCCCAGAGAAGCTCCTGCACACGCAGGACGAGGTCGTGTTCGAGGAGTTCCACATGGCGGGGATGGCCAATGTGATTCCGCAGGCCATGGTGCCGTTGACGTTGTCGTCGTCGTCCCCTGTGCATGTCATCGTGGACGTAGGGTTCTCGGCCACGCACATCGTGCCTTGGATTGACGGTTCGTTCACGCATGTCCATCCCACCGACACCTTTCCGACATGTCGTCAAAACAGGATCGATCGTGTGGGCCGGTGTGCGGCGACTAAACGTCGGCGGCAAGTTGCTGACCAACTACCTAAAGGAATGCGTGAGTTTTCGCCAGTGGAACATGATGGATTCGTTCGACCTCATCAACGACGTAAGTTGATATGTATCCTATTAATATATATATATATTAATATATATTATGATATTTTATTAGGTCAAGGAGGCAGTTTGTCGTTGTTCGTTGGAGTTTGACAAGGACATGAAGGCGTATGCTACATCCTCAGGTCCTAGTACTACTACTAGTACTACTACTGCATCTATCACCCCCACGCATCCTACTCCACTGGTTCAACAATGGGCACTCCCAGACTTTGTCCATTCATATCAAGGCAAATTGGTGGTAAGTTGTAGTAATAGTAGTAGTACTACTAGTAGTAGTAGTTCATAGAATGGTGTTGTATTCAAAAGGGGTACTAACTCAAAGGACTTCTTTAGACCCCCACGACCGATTTGCCGCCGCATGTCCAGGTATACTAGTATATTCCCAATCGATGATGTTCATGCATGTGCTCTGTTCTGTTGGCTTTGTGATACTTATCAAAATATCAAAAAATATTCATACATGGATGATGGACTAATGATTCAGTTTTATCTTATTCGATGGTTATATACTGTATATGTATATATCGCTAGAATGGAAGATAAATCTATATGAGGTTGGTATTTTTGATACATATATTGCTCGAGAGGGTCGAATATTAGTAGCTTGATTGAAGAGTATAGACACATATAGTCCAGACGTGAATATATGTATATAATGTAGATATATATATATGGATGAAACACGGTTGAAAATACGATTCTCCTCTTTGTACTTGTTATTATTTAGAATGTATATATATATATATAGGTCTTGACGATGGGTACTGCCTGTAGGTGTTGCGTGTGGGTGTGGAGTGCTTTGCAGTGCCGGAAGTGCTATTCCATCCATCCGACATTGGAATCGATCAAGAAGGTATCGCAGGCGGCATCGCAGATGCCATCGCGGCGTGCCCTCCATTTGTCCAGGGTCTGATGTACCAGCACATCGTTGTCACTGGGGGGTCGTCCAAATTCCCGCACTTTATCGATCGGTTGCGCGTCGATTTGCGGCCGCTCGTACCCGCGGAATATGCCCTCCACGTCACCCTTCACGATGAGTACAGTAGAGTTCTTTTTACTGATGTGCTGTATGTTGGTATATGAGTACAGTAGAGTTCTTTTTACTGATGTGCTGTATGTATATATGTATGTATATGAGTACAGTAGAGTTCTTTTTACTGTATTGCTGTACGTTGGTATATGTATATAGGTGATTGATAATTGTTTTTCTGTGGTCCTGTACCATATTGAGCTCGATTGTGGTTGTATTTTTGGCAATAGAGATTTTCACATAAATAATATTTGGCCTTTTTAAAATGACAGTGAGCCAATAGCATTTTGACCGTATGGAAATGTTTTGTGCAATTTAGACTATACAGTGTTGAGTATATAACGGCCTGAATTGACATGGGAATATCAGGCACTTTGGATTGGCAGAAATTCACACCAAAACGTGGTTTGATTGGCTGATTCAGTGGACACTACATACCGGTATTACCGTTGTGTGCTTTATATATATTGTCCTTTTACCCAAAATTTGGCTGACTTTTGTGCTGATTCACCAAATCTGTCGATCGATTCTTTGCCCTGACCTTTGTAAAGATCGTCCAGTATCACACTAATTGCAGTCACACACCAATTCGGTGTTGCATTGGTCGAATAGTGAGAATTTGATTGGCCACTTCATCAGTGTTGTGGGTTTTGATTGGTCGATATATCGAATCGACTTGACAATATATAATGCTGTACAATAGTGATAGCTCTGTTTGTGGTGTTGCTTGGTGGATCTCATGGTTACTGGTAGCCCCGTTGGCGCTGTATGGCGAGGCTGCCAAGCATTTGCAAACACTCGGACGTTCAAAGAAGAAGCAGTTGTTACCAAGGAAGAGTACATGGAGATGGGAAGCGCGGCGTTGTACCGATGGAGGAACAAAGCGATGACACCTACGCACGAGTGGAAGCAATGATGACTGACTAATGTATCAACGTGTAGATAGTATTACTAAGCGATACTACTACTAGTAGGATTGGGATATCCCTGTTTCCATATTGGTAGCGTTGTGATTGTATATGAGAGTGGATACACCACTCCCACAAATACGAACGACTGAAAAAATGGAAGTCAGGGAAAACACATATTTGAATGTGAAATACCATATTGATTGTACAATCAACGGCAAGGCGATAGCGTAGTTACCGACGATGTCGTTGCGAGGGTCTGCTACTACTCCGGCTACGTCGGGAGGTGGTTGGATGGGGTCGTTTGGCCCCCACAGGCACACGGAATGGCCGATCACGGCCGCCAAAGCGGAGCTGTCCCGACTCCTTTCGACCACCTAATCCCCCACCCAAACGCCGGGGCTTCCACCCCTTCATGACGCGCGCGCGCTCATATTCGACGAGGATCGTGCGGCCATCGATTGTCAACCTGTATACATATGACACGAGTATAATAAAGCCATTAAGCATGTACCTATTCGTGGCGACGTACGCAGCTTCAAAGTCCCGCTCGTGGACAAACTCGATGAACGCATACCCACGGCTCTCCTGTGTCACCGCATGCCGGACAAGGCGTAGGCGTTCGATGGGTCCGTACGCGCCAAATACGGATTGCAACGTCTCCTCCGTCGTGGTGAAGCTCAGCCGCGCCACAAACAGCGTCGCATATGGATTTCCCACAATCTGCGGATCCTTGGACGGGTCAAACTTGGCCTGCTCTGCGCGGATCAGGGCCTTGTCATGCGGAACATTCGACTCGCACCCGTCGATGGCACCGATGAGCGCTGGATCGTACTCATGCGCATACCAGTACTGGCCCTTGGATCGATCTCTGTCGCGGTGTCGAGGATTACTGTCGCTGCGGTCCCGCCTTCGATCCATCACGCGCGTCTTTCCAAAATACTTGCCCTGTTACAATAATAAATGTAACAATTGTTTTGCGTAATATAAAATACCATATCGGTCATTATAACGAATTATTATTAGTATATACTACTACTCCGTGTACTAGAATAATAACACTTCAGTAGTACGTTATAATATACTATTTTAATAGTATATTAAAACGTTATTATAACGTACTACTGAAGTACTATTAAAATAGTACTAAGTATACAGTAGTAATATCTAGTAATTGGTTTAAACGTCGATGGCCAGTTTATGTGCCTTCAAATTGGCCAATGGATTTGCTTGATATTTGGAATAGCCAATCGAATCACTAAAACCTAGTATATATTTTAAGTTTAACGTTACAGTAAATGCGTGCGATGGTCCAAAAACAACAATAACAATTTGTTACAATTGTGCATTGGACTGTATTGAATATTAACAGGTGAGCATTTGAAAGAAGCGTATTGTATTATGCTATGAAATGTAAAGTCGCACTTCCGAAACTCTATAATTAAATTAATGAGTCACATTCGTTGTATGCATTCATTAGTTTTTACAGGAAATGTAGGCAAATATACAAACACCCCGCCTTGTCCGCCATCCCTTCGCTGTCTGTCGGATCTCTCAACATGGCTACATTCAATCTCCAAGATGAAGCAAGAAGCCTCGTCTACGGAGGACGACATGATCGTGATGAGGAGAATGACGCGGTCGAGGACCTGCCTGCTGTCGTCGCGGGACAGCGCGCAGGAGCGAAGCGCGGCGCGTATTGTCGATTCCCAGACGGGTGCACCAAGTACGCCCAGGCAGGTACGTTCCTGGTTGTTCCTTCCATGATCTACCGCCACTCATACCCGCTGACGTAGGAGGGTTATGCATTGCGCATGGTGGCGGGCGTCTGTGCACCGATCCGTTGTGTCCCGAGTATCACACACGAACATGCAAGAAGCATGGCGGCACGAAGAAATGCTCGCATCCCGACTGCACCAACGTGTCGGTGGGGAAGACGCGCATGTGCAACACGCACGGTCCCGGTCGGCGGTGTCAGGTACGTAACCTCGTCCTCTCTCCATCTCCTCATGTACACACAGACGGACGGGTGCGACAAGGTGGACGCGGGACGAGGGTACTGCATGGCGCATGGCGGCGGCCGCATTTGCAAGATGGACCATCCCACTGCGTGCACGAAGAAGCAATACCGCGGCGGCTACTGCTACGAACATGCGATCAAACCCAAGTGCCAGTCGGAAGGATGTACGAAGATGGACCTCGGGAAGGGCCACTGCAAGACCCATGGCGGCGGATACGCATGTAAAGTGTCTGGATGTGTCAAGAAGGATCAAGGCAAGGGCTACTGTATCGCACATGGCGGCGGCAATCGGTGTCACATATCCGGGTACGAACGAGTGTGTGAGTTATCTGCATCGTGCGGACGTAGGGTGGTAGCTAGTAGTAGGGGATTAGTATATGTAGTAGTAGATACAAATCTTTTTGATATGCAATATGTTGATATAACAATATATATATTAATATATGTTTTATAGATGCGACAAAGTGAATCGAGGTGGCGGGTACTGTAAAGCCCATGGTGGAGGTAAGATATATATATAACAGCTATAAGTGTAAGGTTAGACCAAAGAACGAACGAGTTGGTTGGCAATACACAAGTTTCTATTTATGTGTATATTTTAATTAATATTCTTTGTATATTTTAATCAATATTCTGTTATATTTTGATTTATGTTCTGTTTATATTTTAATTAATATTTTAATCAATATTCTGTGTATATTTTAATCGATATTCTGTTTATATTTTGATTTATATTCTGTTTTGATAAAAACATCATGATATTTATGAGTGTGATACTCTACATCGGACAAATATTGTTCCATGGTGGTAATCTTCCTTCCTTTGTGGGTATGTAATGCGTACAAGTATATATATATATATATATGTACGCATGTCCAATGTATCAGCCGGGGAACGCTGTACAGCTGTCGAGTATTATATAAATATATATATGCCTCATGCGATGGGGTTTTGCGTGAACTACCGATATCTCGGCCTCTTTGCAGCCGTTTTAGCCTGAAAATAGGCAAAAAATGCGACGTGGTGTCGTGCAAGTGTTGGGTGGTCGGCGGAGGTCGATGCAAAGCCCACGGAGGTGGAAACAGCAGCAACAGCAGCAGCAGTTGCCACTCCACCACAGGCAAACGGTGTGCCGAGCCAGGTACTAGTGACTTGTCTCGCTGGGTTTAACGACATTTTCAATTCTCGTGATATAATCGTGTGTAGGATGTACCAAGTACAACCAAGGTGGTGGGTACTGCCTGGCCCACGGCGGAGGTGTCAAATGCTCGACGGACGGCTGTATAAAGAAACAGGTACATAAAGCAGTGTTGCAATATATATATATATATATATATACATAAAGCAGTGTTGCAATATATATATATACATGGATAATCATTTTTGGAGCTACCAACCAAGGTCAAAGTTGGCATGGGTGGCTGAAGCGTTTATATACATATTGTCATGGACACCATTATTGCAAATAGTATTGGTCGCTGCCAACTTTAGTGAAATACGTTGAAGAGTTCCTATTAGGATATATATATATATATATATATACAAATGGTTGTAGACACGGTATGGGTTGTGCAGTGGCCATGGCGGCAAGGCGCGATGCCACGTCACAGGGTGCGACAAGATCAGTCAGACCAAAGGATTGTGTAAAGCCCACGGCGGTGTCAAAATCTGCAGGTCTCATATATACATTACTAGTTAGTTGATGATATTTAATTCATTTTAAGAGGTATCTTGGGACTGTATTACCAACGTTTATGCTTTTTAGCCAATCATATTGCAACCTGCATTCTTTTGAGCCAATCATACTGTTTTGCTCGATGTGTTAAGCAAAAGGTTGCAATGTGTATGTTATTTGCTGCACATGGTTCTCCGACGCTCTATATACAATGGGTAGTTGTGATCTAGTTACTACAAATATATATATATATATATATAGTTTATTGAACGATTCATATGGATGTAGTGCGCTGTACTGTTCACGACAAGCCAAGACCAAGGGTTTATGCATTGCGCATGGCGGCGGGCCCAAATGCAAACACCCCACAGGGTGCGACAAAGCCCAGCGAAGTGGGGGGTTTTGCAAGGCACATCTCGCCAGTCGGGCTAGTACTACTAGTACTAGGACTAGCCTCAGCCCGACCGACCAACCCGACAGCCATCCATCTCCTTCGTCATATACTATCCCCCCGCCGCAAATGGTCGTAGCATCGGTACAAAGCCCATCTCTCCATATCGATCCACCCTGTCGCACATTTGTACTATAACGAATATATGACGATATTCTGTGTGCCATATATATATATATGTGTGTGTAGTCCACCCGCCACCACTTGTCGCCTTCCAGTGCGACGTTTTCAGCGTACCCCACGACCAGTTCGCTGCACCATCCCACGTACTCTGCCGCTTCGATGCTCAATCCGAGCGCCGCCATCTCAATTTTGAACCCCGACACGACCGAGGTAAACGTCATGTATGCGACGACGTTCAAACATGCATATGTAGGACGAGAGTGGCGGGCGGCGGGAACCGTTGCCGGCTACGACGAGGACGTCCAACACTGTCACACATTTGCTCGACAGCTGCTTGCCGTACATGTACGCGTTGCCGTCGCTGCGCCTGGACGGGTTGGTGCCGCCCGCGTCGACGGCAGAAGAGGTATGTTCAAGACAAGCGAAATATGCGACGAGGTTACAGAGATGTGTGACAAGGTGACTGACTTTGTGTAGGTGGTGCGATCACACGGCCTGCAACATCAACTCAACCCCATCGACGAGCTCGTGCACCCCACGACCCAAGACGCAGCACTTACCATGACGTCGCTGTGGTAGATATAACAGGGGCCCCTATATCGACCACAATAACTATTGCAATATATATATCGCTCGTTCAATAAATAGGTTTATTATGGTTCAGGCACAATATAGTAACATATTTATTGCAATATAATATTAAATAATTGTTTTCACAATAGATTTTTGACAATCGCTGTTATATAGGGGCCGACAAAAAAGGGCACATTTTTGGCTTGATGCTCGTAGTTTGGATGACATGCTTGGCTTGCAATCCCGTAAATATATTATTAATAGTAGTTGTTCGACTACTGGACTAGGACTACTGTAGTAACGTTAGTAGTTAGTAATATTAATACTAGTACTAGGAGTACGACTTTTCGTTTGATATCCGGTCCATCCCGTCGTCGGTATGACAGGTGGATGAGAAAATCTCTCAATTGCATACTTAAAGCAACATTATTCGTAAGTATACTTGACCTAAGCTCGTCCTAGCGGATAAAAAATACGAGTAAATATTAGGGCCTGTTCCAAGTACTATTAATAGTAGATATTTTTAGCAAATGGAAAAGTGGTTCCAAGTACAGTTTCCTACTTTTGTACCTCTAACTCACTAAGCCAAAAGTAGAAAAAAAAAGAAGGGGTATATCGAGTTTGATTGGCTCGTGCTATTTCTAAAAACTACTGTTAATCGATTCTTTCATTTTTTATAATATTTTGTTTCGTGATTATTTTTGGTTGTTGAAGTACTCCGAACAAGAAATAATCAGGATATATTATAATATCCTGACATAGGTACAGATACACCGACCTCTACAGACTTCTCCGAGCAACGACACGAGCCCCGTTTCATCATTGTGTTGATCGTCCTGCACATGTTCTACTCCTGTATGTATATATCGTTCCTTCTTGATATATATATATATATATCGTGATATTACAAGATACTGTATTCGTACATATTATATATACATACTGTCATATAACCGTTCTCGAGTAGTATATAATATCTACTAGTACTAGTAGTTTTTAGGGAAGCGACGCCAGCAGCGACTGCACGAGGCCAACGCCAAAGCCCGTGGCTAGGTCGTCTTCAATCACAGGGTACGCCATGTCGACATGGATCCACTTGCCCGAGGTCTCATACTCGCCCAAGTGGTTGGCAATAAACTGACCAGCGCAGCTCACTTGGGCGTTGGTGCGCGTCTTGACGCTGTTCTTCATGTCGGCCACTTTGCTCTTGAACTCATCGCGGAAAAACTCGGGGGCGTACGGCAACGGGTGAACAAAGTCCCCAGAGGCCTTGCCGGCCGCGACTGTCCATGCTTCGAGGTCGTTGTCGTTGGACACGACGGCGCCGAACCGCTTGCCGGTGGCGATCCCCTGCGCGCCCGTGAGTGTAGCCATGTCGAGAATCACATGCGGATTCAAATGCTTGGCGGCATATGCGACACCGTCACCGAGCACCAGCCGGCCCTCGGCGTCCGTGTTGTTGATCTCGACCGTCTTGCCAGAGTACAACGTGTGGATGTCATCGGGGCGGGTGGCGAGGGGACCCACGGCGTTTTCGGCGAGGCAGAGCACCACATGCAGCGGCCGAGAGGAGGTTCCGGCGAGCACGGCGGCTTCAAACGCGCCGAGGAGCCCCGCCGCGCCACCCATGTCGTGCTTCATGCCCACCATGCTGCCCGAGATCTTGATGGACAGTCCCCCCGTGTCGTATACGATACCCTTGCCGACCAACGCGACGCTCTTGTCTGATTTAGAAGACGACGACGGGTAGTGGCTGAGCACGACGAGCGCCGGCGGGTTTGCAGCCGCTTTGCCGACGCCGTAAATGCCGCCAAACCCTTGCGTGTTGAGATCTTCGCCCTGGATCACGGTGATCTCGGCATGGACGCGCGCCGCGACCGCCTTGGCTTCCGCGACAAACGTGTCCGTGTTGAGCTCGTTGGGAGGCGAGTCCACAAGGCGTTGGGTCAAGTGGATGCCCGTCGCAGTTGCGTTCAGGAACGACACCGTGGACGCGTCCACGGTGTGATCGAACACGACGACGACTTGGTCCAACGCCACGGTCGTCGACACGCCGTCCGTGATCACGCCACTCTGGGTGCCGCTGCTCTTGTGGCTGTACGCCGTGGAAATACCCTTGGCCACGGCCACACCCGCCGAGACGGTGGTGGTCGCATGTTCTGGCAACGTGAACGCGACAATCACGTCCTTGTTGTCGGGCACGTTGCTGCGGACAAGCGCGGAAATCGCATGCGGGCGCGAGAGGGTGTTGTAACGGGAGATGAACGTCGGGAGTTGTGCGACAACAACGCTGGCGACACCACGGGCACCGAGAGACACGTACAAGTGCGTCGAGGCGGCGCTGTCAAGGCCCGCGGAGAGTTGCGCCACAGCGTGTTCAAGGAGCGCGGTGTCGACGGCGGTGCCATTGTTCAGGCGAGTGAGGATCTGTTGCGCGAGGGCAGTGGCGGGAGTCTCCTTGGTGCCGATCACGACTACTTTGGGGAGCGCACCGGCATAAGCAGGGAGTGCGTGGAGGTCGGCAACGTACTTGACCATGGGGGATGTGGACGCTTCCTTGGAAATTGAAAACTGATGGAAAATTGGCCTCCAGAAAAACAATGATGGCATCATGGCATGCTGATATTACAACATATAAGCATAGTTAAGCCTGATTAAAACATATAATGTTGTATCCGAATATAAATATATGCATATGACCACGATTTCAAACTTGAACTTGGAAAGGCATTAGGTGTGCTGAGATACCTCGGAATTGTCCGGAGGTTAATTTTAAAACCGTTCTCCTTGTATTTTATACTAACGTTAGTACTTGGAAACCAATATTATATTGCCCACTTCGGGTTTGAAACCCGAGTCAGCGGATAAAATATGCAATTGAACCATTCCTTGCAAAATCCTTTGCAATTAGAGCGAAAGATGCTATCGTGGAAGGATTACACGACGGGGATGTGCCTTTTTATAAAATTTCCGAGTATTAGGCAGCAAAATGTGACGCTTCTGGGCAAGCGTATATCGTTGGCCATTCGCCAACACCGTCGGAATCCTCAGCCAATCAAATGCTTTCGGATATGAAGCGTTCGAAATATCGATTATCGTCTTGGTTACCTGTACTATAATATTAATCGTACTACAGTACTGTAGTAGTAGTTACTAGTAAAGTGCATATTTCGAGCTGTACTAGAGTGCGAGGGTCTCAGACGATACGTATCGTATGACAGTCTCAAAAAAGGCCTCGTTGAAGTAACACGGACTTGCCAGCACTATGAGTAAGATGAATGTAGGTTTAACTAAAAGTACAAATTTTATTGGAGATTCGGTGTGATTTTCTCGCCGAGCGAATCGAGCACCAATTTCTCCCATTGGCCAATCCGAAATTACTTGTCGCTGATTGGCTATAATACATTTTCATGGAAAGGGCGAAGTGGATATTGGCCAATCAGATGTCTCGGCTCTAGAACCATTGCAAAATTGGGAAATTTGAAGAAAATCGACAATATGTTAACCCCCTTCACAGAGTAGATACAAAACTTTTATATTATCTTACAATTCGTATGTGGAAGAGTATATATTTATTATATTTTTTTTTTTTTTTTTTTGTGCATTCTGTGGTTTGGCAGCTCTATTTCCGTCCAACATAATTCTTGAATTGGATCCCCCGCCAACCTTAAAAATTGATGGGGAGACAGACACCGTGACCGTGAGCAACACACCCTCGATAGACTTTTCCTTCTAGACAAACTCTAGTGCAGTAATAAGGCATTTCACTGTCTGAACTGAAATCGGGAATACGGTGCTGCAGTCGCCATGCCTACAGACCCCTTGTATACACTGTGTTGCTGTCAGAAGCAAACGATAGCTTCATACATTTACGTTAAGATTAAGCTTATTGCGCATTTCACCCAAATTTGAACGTGCGAGTCATTTCGCCAAATAGCACTGGGAACCATTTGATCCAATTTAATCTTGTAAAAACTATACAATACAAAGATTTGTAGTGTGGAGGGACTGGGCAGAATTAAACGTTTGGATTGGCAGAAATTCTGAAGGACGTACTAGTAATTTGATTGGCTTAGGCAGTTCTTTAACCCCTTTGCTGATGGCCCCAGTTTCCAATCAATTTTGACAATACCAGCTACTTCGAAGTACTTCGAAGTAGTAAGTACTCCGAGTATGTATTAATACTAACGCTAATACTTAGTATTTAATACTTGGAGTAGTAGTTAGTTTACGAGTGTTACGTTTCTACGTGCGGTATAGAAGTACAGTGTAGTACAAGACTTTACAAACAGGTTGGTTTTTCTCGAAACAGGACGTGTAACCCGAACTCATCACAGTATGTTGTATATACAAATTGTAAGTTTAATTTAGTTTACTGTAACATACTAGTATAATGTTTGCTGCATAAACGCTACTAGTACTCGAGTAGTAACAATAAGTTAATATGAACATTGTACCTCACAGGCCACGCTACAAAGCAGTTCAATACATCTTAAACTTGATATTCTTGCTAAAGCGATATTACAATATTTCAACATGAGTCATTTTTCACTGTATTACATTATATCGTTTCACATCTAATAAACGCGTTTTTCATTTTATGCATGAAAATAGGTGAAGATCTGAGAACAATTCTCTCATACTATTAGTACACACTATCAAAAGCCTGCCGACTACAGTACAGTACTGGATCTCGTACCATTACAATTATCTAGCGTACTAAATGGCATACTTCGTACCATACGTTTAGCTCCATTTTGGTCTTAGGATATGGCAACATTATCTTTTCTAGGTAAAATATGCATATATTTCGCCAAATATGTTGGCGTCTCAAATAGAGGACACATGCGTGAGACATGGCCGGCATTTCCAATCTCTCCTCGACTCCATCATCAACATGCGCGCTTCGAGCTCTGCCGCCGCCACCGCCGTGATGGTGCTTGCCGCGTCTTCTGCGTCGGCCCTTCAATGCACCACGGCCCAGATCAACCAAGTTGTGTCCACCGCTCAAAACTCGGCAAACGCGATCCCATGCACCCAGGTGATTGGGTTCTCCTTGTCGGAATTCATCACGAGCCCGTCGCTGACCCCGACGGAATCTCAACTGGCCAAAGCCACGGCGAACCCCAACTGCGCGGCGCTGGTCAAGGAGTTGCAGGGACTGACCATCCCCGCCAACTGCGAATGGTGGGGTGTGCCGGTGAAAACGCTACTGCAACTCGACTTCAAGGGATGGGTCGTGGCCAAGTCCCAAGCCATCGACGTGCCTACTGCGACACCGGGTGCCACCACCAAGGTCCCCATCACGACCGTCCCCAGCAATGATGACGAGAACGTCACGACCATTGTCCCCACGACCACTGCCATGATCACGGCGACCACGACGACCACGACGACCATCAGACCTCCATCAACTTCCCGTCTCAACGGCACCAACACGACGGTCCCCACCACCACCGAAGTGATCACCACCGAACCCCCGTTTGCCACCGACGAGCCCACCCTTGAACCCGACGTCACGACCACCAAGCGACCTACCACCACCACCCGCCTCCCCATCACGGCCGCGCCGTCGTCTGCCATGGCGGTTGCGTCCTCGTTGACAGCCATCGCAGTGGCCGTCGCCGCGGTGGTCGTTGTCTAATTGCCTGAGTTATGCACTTTGTTTCGTTAATACGGATACGATCGCAATCTGTCGTCAACGCATATGCATTCGCTTGAAATGGGGGAGACATTTGACACATGTTCAAGTGACATCGTCCATTGAAGAGCAACAATAGAAAATAGTGTGTGGTTATACAAACGTCGTAGACGTCTGTCGACTGTTTTGAACGAAGTTGAAGCCCAAAAGTACACCATTTTTCGATTAAGTTCAGGATATTTCTGGTATATTTCGTCCGGTGCACAACTGATTCACGCCATGTGCGTTATGTTCGCCAAGCATTCAATATATTTCGTTGTTGCAGTATATTTGGGACTAATGAGTTGCTAAACCTCTCTATTACAGTATGTCCGATACATGTCGTCACCCCACAGGCGAAATATTTCACACCCAATAATTGGTTGAGTGGTCTATTACTCGAGTATATTTCAATGACAATTTAGATGCAAATCAAAGCACATCAACGCGCTGTTTCATTACATGTACTGACTGTGAGAACCGTAATCGCACTCAAAAATGACCATCACTCATGACTCTCGCTGATTGGCTAAAAATTTGGTCACCATAATTTCGAGGTCGAAGTGACCCACAATAATATGATGCGAAGCGAGAGGCGGCATTTGGGTCGAGCAAATATATGTAATATAGCTTCTTCAAAGAAGTTTCGTAGTTTGTCAGTCTATGGTTAACTACATCCGAATACATTATGAGTTTGAACTATTGAGAATTATCCTGTCATTCGGAATAGATTATTTATTTTTGTCGTTATAGTTAAGTTTTCTACTTTTGCTGGTCATGGGAAAAGATAACTTATCTACCGGAAGTACTGTATTTTGGTTGTGGCGTAAAATAATCTATTTTTCGTTGGAATAAAAAATGTTTTCTTAAATAGATTATTTTTTTAGAACCGCTGGTAGGGCCCTGTGGTGTATCATGCCAAGCGTAGGCACATCCGCTATGATATGTATGCGAGCACGACCAAGTTCTCAACTACGCAACTGTGGAGCCACATTCACGTTCGACGTGCTCAGACGCGGCGTCTCGAAGCATTACTCGTGAGGCCAAAAGATGTCGGATTGTTCGTGATGGCGTAGCTCCGATTGGTCATTATTGCATCAATCCATTATCAGTAAACCTGATTGGCTTAAATATCACACACTTGTTTGAGTTTCGACATCCATTATTATAATAATTATAGGACGAATTTAATTGGAAAGGTCAAATTAATTACTCTGTTGAGGCCACCTGGATACAAATATCAACATATATTTATTCCAACGATTAAAGTTTGTGAGAGGTCGTATTGCATATATTTGAAGGAGCGGACACCAGTGACAAATAAGTACACACAGCAGCAGCAGCATGAAGCCACAGAAAGGAGGAGCAAAGCGAACCAGCAAGCCCAAGAGCAAGCTCATCGTGACGTTTGACGCAGACAAGCGCAAGTATGACGCATGCATCTATCCCTTACATCCTAACTCTGTGCGTAGGGACTACTTGACGGGGTTCCACAAGCGCAAGCAAGACCGACGGCGGTTTGGCCATGATATGGAAGCGTTCAAGAAGCAAAAGGCGTTGATCGAAGCCCGCAAGATCGTACGTGACACCTCCTTCGTCACATGCAGCCAACACGTCTGGATCATCATGACGGTTGAGTGTAGCGGAAAGCAGAGCAGCACGAGTTGATGGCGTCGCTGCCCGAAGTCGCCAACGTCAAGCCCGTGGCCACCGATGGCGACACCGAAGTCGTCGACTTTGACGATGCGCACACTCAAGGTATCCACGTGGTCTATCACTTTACTACCAACCAAGCTAACCCGACTTCATGTGTAGGCAAGTTTGGGGATGTGGTGACCGTGACCACATCGGTGGGGGAGCTCAAGAGCGACAGCGAAGACGAGTTGGACGACGAGGTATCTATCATGCTGTCATGCTTCCCACCCCGTTTCTCTCTCATCATGCATGCATGCAACGGACGGATTAGGAGCACGAGCTGCTGTTGGCGGCGCTGGCCAAGAAGAAAGACCGAGCCAACCAAAAGCAAAAGAACCACTTGACGCTGTTTCAACGCGTACAACTCAAGCGAAAGGGCGTCGCGCTGCCGACGAAGCGCTCCAAGATCAAAGCCGCCAAGCAAAACGCCAAGCGCAATGGCAAGTCTCAGGCCACGGCTGTATTGGCCAAGAAGGGAAAAGACGCCGGCGACGACAAGGGGGTAGACAAGCGCAAGGGGTTTCACAAAGCCCGCAAAGGCGGCAAACATACCGCGTAAACGACGTTCGAAATATATAGTAACCGAGTACCATACTGTATCCATCATACTATTCATTAGTTGTTGTGAAGGACTCGAGTAGTACAGTAGTTGGTGTATCCACCAACTAACTTTGGTATACATATAGTTAGTTGGTGGATAGGGACGTCGCCGTGGGAGGCAAAAAATATAAGGAGTCTGCGATTTGTTACGAGTTAGTTGCCCCTACACAAGAATACTACAGTACTACGAAGTAGTAACGTTATTTATTTATTATTCACGTCAACCTTAACCTTTACTCCGTTGTGTGCATAATTTACAGTTATTAATACTATTAATAGTATTATGCTTTGAAGTACTACGTGCAGTATGTCGTAACGTTATTAATACTATTAATAGTAACGTAGATGGCCAGTTAAGGTGCACTCAAATTGGCCAATGGAATTGCTTGAAGTTTTGAATAGCCAATCGAATCACTAGAAAAATGAAATTAAAAAAAATATGCAAAACTAGCCTACATATTTTATTAAGCTTAAACCGCGCACGATAAACTGTCCCCCAATTTTGCCTTGACATGAGTGGAAATCGAAGTAAATGAAGACATGAGTGGAATTCGAAGTAAATGAAGGCTAGCTGAAGTCTATTCAAGCCAATTAAATATTCAGAAGAACATCAACCTTTCGACTTCATGCTGTACTTTTCAGAAGTGAAATCCCATTCCTAAGTGATGAGTAAGCCGCATTAGGAGGTCTCTTTCAAGTGCACCATAAATTGGACATCTATGTTACTATTAATATTACTGTAGTACGCACTAACTTAACGTTATTATACGACACTTGCTGTAACTATTAATACATACGTCGTAGTACTTTGCAATTACGTACTCCGCATTAATAGTATTAATAGTACTACGCACGGTTAATATAACTACGTAGTATTAATAGTACAAGTACTATTATCATATACTATTACTACTACGTTGTAGCATGTACTAGTACATCAATGCTATCTTACATGTAACCGGTAACAGTTAGTCGCGCGTTGTCGCAGTTCCCCCATACGTTGTCGCATCCAAGCCAAGGTCAATACGTAAATCAAGTAGCTTTTGTCAACTGGGTCCCAGACCCCCAGTCAATACAGTAACCGCATCAAAATAAATGTTCTGAACGTTCATTTCCGTTTGTCGATCCAACATGATGCGTCCCGTTCCTGCTATAAGTCCTTGTAATCCATCCACGTGTGAATCGCATACATAAGAGAAGTAGTACTTGTGCGATGGTGGATATGCAACGTTGTGATGTCACTTCAGTAACGTTAACCTAGTTCACACTAACTCACAGTGTTCAATCTCCTCCCAGATAAACCCTTGTCCGGTTGTGCGACGATTCGCCTTGCCCCCCACACGAACGCTTACTCTACAAAACAACTCCGTGCTATAAGATGGACGCAATCTTGGTTGGTTGTGTTGCTAGGATTGCAATGAGCCGAAGATACACCTAGCCAACTACAGTGTCGCTTCGTTGCCTGTCACCAATCTTAAGCGAGGGAATTTCTGAATTGTTTTTATCACATTAGGATACTGGTACATGTACTATTTTAATAGTACCTGTTAAAATAGTGAATACTCACAGTATTGAAAGTGAAGTACGTAGTACAGTACCTACAGTACTAGTATTTACAGTTTTAACTGTAAATGAAGGATCTGAAAAAAATGTAACGCCTGGCATCGAGTTTATCCGGACAAAATGACTGGGTTCGAAATTTTAGGAAACCGCCACCGAGCTTGCGATCTTCGGTGGCATTGTGGATTTGCAGCAGTTGGACACACCATGAAGTGGTCGCTGCTGATTGTGACGCTGCTACTCCTGTCGGACTCCCTTGAATCTATCTCGACGCACAAGCAGAAGAATGCGCTTGGCCGGGCCCGTCGAGCCGCGCTGGGGCAGTCCAAGTCCGCGTCGAGACCTCGCATGTTCATGAAGGCGTCGCCGTCGGGGCCGACAACGTTGAAGAGCCAGTGCTTTGGCTACGGTCTCGTTCCATCTGCGAGCGGAGGCCACTACGGCGCGTGCGACGGCTACGCGCTCATGCCGCAACCGTCGTGCGTTGCCCGAGGCAGCGTCTGCACCGCGTACAAACTCGTTCCAGCCCGCGACGTGCACTACGACCCATCCCCTCCTTCTTCGCAAGACGGCGGGTACGGGGACACTGGTACGCCATACAACACGCCTCCCGGGTCTTCTTCGACCTATCCGCCTTCGACCACGTACCCAACCGAACCCACGACCACCAAGTTCCACTACCCTCCGGTTCCACCAGTCGAAACCCCGTTCTCGTCGACGTACCCGCCCGTGTCGCACCCACCCGTTGTGACCCCGCCCGCGGACACAACCTACCCGCCCCAATCGCCCGTGGCCTACCCGACAACGACCCCTCCGACTCATTATGGCCATCCCACGACAACCATCAAGCAGGACAACGCGTACGGCGGCAGCTCCACGGAGCACCCGTCGGAGCCCCTGTCTGGTGGCGCCGTTGCGGGAATTGTGATTGGATGCTGCGCCGCCGTGGGCTGCGCCGGCGTGTTGTTTTACATGAAGAAGAAGCAAAAGAAACGCGAAGAAGAGATGTTCACCCAAGGTCATAATGACGTAGAAGATCCAGCGCACACGGGGTATGCCGCCATGTAAGCGAAAAACGCTACTTCAAAGTACATAACAATAACGTGCACAGTGGTTTGCATAAAACTAACCTGACGATCTTGATCCTTGTCCAACATTGGCAACAGTACTAGTTGTACGAACGAACGATCCACATTCTTCACAACGTTAAAAATATAACCTACTTCCTCGTACAAAAACGTATTCTATGGCCATGCAGAATTGCTCAAGTAACATGTTATACCGTTGGATCAGGACTGTAATCGGCTTTTAGTTGACTCGTAGGATGGCATCGAATGCAAAAGGAATGGTAGTGCATATGTCAGGTGCATATAACTAGTCTGACACACTACTACTATGACAAGCATCGACATGCACCGCTACTGTACTACAAGCAACAAGATTTGGCCCCAATGCATGCACAAGCCATATATCGTTTAACGTTACTGTATGCGTTCCAATTTGTTATAAATCTGAGAATTCAGAGTTCAATAAGTCTCGCTGTTATCCGTACCTTATCCATATAAATCTCAAGAGATAAATTCCCACCGGTGGGAGTTATATAGCTCAAGAATATATTATAAGATTGCCACACGTGTCCCTAAAATGGCGCCTCTATCGCTAGACCAGGTCGATCAACACGACGCGGACGAGCATTTCCCAACAAACGAGGGCGGGCCTTCGAGTGGAAATTGGGGCTTCTTCACTTGGAGGAGCCCCCACTGCGCCATTCCTTGCACGAGCCCGCTTTGCCACACCACCTGCGTGTTCGTTCCTTGCATTAACGTTACATTCCGTCACTGTTTACTCCACCCTAGAACGCCTACAAATGTTGCTCTCTCCCCAATAAATATACATCAGGGCCCAAAATTGTGGAAATTGTGGGCAATAAGCTGCCTGTAATGAACGAGCACATGAATGTCATAAAGCCAGCCCCCACCTTCAAGATGCTACCACTTGAATAGGTATTCCATCGTGTGAAGTATTTCCGTAGCCCCCCACGTGATATACCACCTTCCCCTGTCCGTACCACGCCCCCTTCAGCTCCCTGCATCTACAACCCATAAATCCAATGTTAATTCGACTCTAGTAGTTACGACTTGTCATTCTCCCTTTGTGTTGCTCCGCCGTACTTTTGATGAAACATATCAACCA